TCACTTCGCTGCGGAGCTGGTGGTATTGGGAGGAGGGGAGGCCGATGACGGCGAGGATTTTCGCGAAAAAGACGGATTGCCTGGAGGATAGATAGGTAGTGAGTTTGGAAAATGACTGGATAAAGAGGACCTACACTGGGATCGTCAGGCCCGCTAGAATGGCATTGGATAGACCGAAGAGCAGAATCTTCCAGTCGCGCTTGCTTAAGTGTGCGATGAAGCTAATAGTTTGTAGAGCACTGAGCCCATGAGTGCCCTTTGTTTCCTGCTCTGTCGGCGAGGTCTGTGGGGCAATTTCTTCCTTTATCGTCGCTTTCTCGTCGATATAAGACACAGCAGCTCCATCCAAGTGCGAGTCCGCTTCATCGACGGACAGCTCGGCGTTCTCCGTGCTTTCAGCCTCCACAAGCTGCTGCTTTCGTACCAAAGCAGCATACACGCCGTCCTGCGCGATGAGTGCCTCGTGTACCCCTTCTTCCACCACCCTGCCCTGTTCCAGCACAATAATATGGTCCACGTTCCGGATTGTCGAAAGCCGGTGTGCAACAATTATAGTGGTGCGATTCTCCGATGCCGCATCCAAGGCTCGCTGGACCGCAGCCTCCGATTTCGAATCAAGGGCAGCCGTGGCCTCATCCAGAAGCAGAATCCTAGGGTTCTTGATCAGGGCCCGAGCAATTGCAACACGCTGTCTCTGACCTCCGGACAGCTGCAGGCCTTTTTCTCCGACTGGGGTATGATAGCCGTCCGGCAATGCGGCGATGAAGTTGTGGGCATCGGCCATTTTTGCTGCTTGGATGGCGCGCTCTTGTTGCTCGGCTGGGGACAGCTGGCCGAGCATGTCTGAAGCTCCGTATAGGATATTCTCGAGGATTGTCCCGTTGAAGAGGACGGGCATTTGATCCACCAGGGCGATCTGGCTACGGAGCCAGCGGAGGCTGAGAGATTGAATGTCGCGTCCGTCCAGTACTAAAACAGTCAGAATGAGTATGACGGACTACGATAGACGAAAAGCACTTACGAACTGCTCCGCTTGTCGGCTCGTAGAACCGCTCCAACAGCCCGAATACACTGCTCTTTCCACTTCCAGACGAGCCTACAATCGCCGTCTTCTTCATCGCGCCACACCTCAGCGACAGCCCCCGAAGAATATCTACCTCCTCTCGAGAGGGATAGACCAGCCCAACGTTATCGAACAGAATCTCGCCCTGCACGCCCTCCAGCTGCTCTCCCTCTGCCGCCAGAGGATCCTGCGGCGACCGCCTCGCAATAGCCTCAAGAACCTTGCCCGTAATCGCGATCCCGGAAAGCAACGCCTGCGCCGACGGCGCAATGCGAATAATCGCAAACGACCCAATCGTAACCGCCAGGGTCGTTGAACTCACTTCGGCAATGGTCATCTCTCCACGAACAAGGTAAATCGAACCAGCCCAGAACGCAAGCGCATAGATGAGATTCGGCATCGCGTTCATCCACGCAATCATCACAGCAACCATATTTTCCGCCTTGCGGTCTGCCCTCCCGGCCTGGTCTAACACTTCCCGATACCGGTTGGACAGCAGAGACTGGATACTAAATGCCGTGACATGCTTGATCGCCCCGACGGCCTCCTCAACCACCCCCGCCGCTTGGGTATACAACTCCATAGCCCGCCTGTGGTGCTTCACCATATACGCGCCCCCGAGACTCTCCGTGACTATCATGACCACGAAAAACGGGCTGATGATTAATGCGGTCTTCCAGTACATTATAAAGGCGACCACGAACGCCGCACAGAACGTCGCGAGCGCCGTGAGCATCACCGCCAGTTTACTCGTAACCGCCTCCTGCACAGTCCCCATGTCCGACATGATCCGGCTGGTGATCTCACCTGGGCCCAGGGTATCAAAAAAGGCCATATTCTGCCGCAGGATGGCGGACAGGTACGCTGTCCGCAGGGCACGAGCAATACGGTCACCGGCATAGTAGAACCCGACCGTCGCGACGTAGGTAAGCACAAACAGCGCGATACTGAGATAGACATAGTACAGCGAGAACGTGGCGATTTTAGAGCGGAGCTCGGACGCCTCGACAGTGCCGGCCTCAAAGCCGTCAAAGACGCTGACTAGGAGACCGTAGATGACAGGCACGAGTGGGTTCAGGGCGCCTGCTAGGATTGCGCAGATGGAACTCACGGACAGAATAATTCGGTCTGAGCGGGCCGCATACGTTAAAACATTGTTTTTGGGTGTCGTTCCATTATCTAGGCCGTGGAGCTGACGGTCTAGGATAACGCGCTGGCGCTCGCGCCCGGACTCGTCCTGCTGGGAGGCTATACAGGAGGACATGGCGTGGGTAGACGGACAAGTATGAGAGAGGGGCGGGGAATTAGCGGTTTCATCCGCGAACGAGAGCTGCTTGCTAGCCTTTAAGTGGCTGAACTAGGGTCACAGATTGCGTGATAAGCGCTGAACCTATTGGGAGGCTCTGTATTATTATCTGTTACTACTATGCTACCTAAATGTATAGCTAGGGGTCAGGTCTTCGGTCCGAATGTAACATCGGCCCTAACTCCAAATCCCGACACTGCACGTCCAAGCCTCTCACTCAAACACACAGAGCTTTCATGGATTGTATCCAGGTAACTAATGGTTCAAGACATAGGTAGCAACCATTCCTACTCACCATTGTCCCTAAACAAAAGAATACCTAACCTCCTCCCTCACCTCCCTCGCCAACCTCAACGCCTCGGCCCGTCCCACACGCGAAAACACATTGAAATATGCCAAAAACGTATGCTTCCCTGTACTTGGATGCCTCACTTTCTCCCCGCGTTTCACAAGAGTCGCACACCGACTGATATTCCGCCCCAAATCTGGTCGGCGCGCAATCAAGTCCGCGCAGATATCGTCGCTGTCGAAGATCCCCTCTCTTTCGGTGGAGAAGTCCGCCGGGATGAAAACCATGATTGCTGTGTATTGGGGCCCAGATTTGTAAGGAACCGCGAGGGCGCGAGCCCGGGGTTTGTCGTTTACGCCTAGGATAGCAGCCAGGGCCCAGTAGTCGATGCCGTAGGTGGATTCGATGATGTGTGAGCCGGTCATGCCGAGCGGGCGGGGGTTTATCTCGATTAGCCAGGTTGAAGGCTGACGGGACCCAGAGACATCGTTGCGCTGCTGCAGGTCGATGATGCCGTTAGTTTCACGGTAGTCCATCGTTGAGTTCTCGACTCGGCCTTCTAGGTGCATGACCCCGTTCCGAATCCCCAGGGACGACAGCGTGCCTGCAAAGCTGGTAATGAGAAAATCCAGTTCTTCCTCCGGAAGGGCAGAAGGGTAGACGCTATTCAGCTCGTGGAAGTTTGTTAGTGAGCCTACTGTCGGCCCGTTAATGTCGGCGGACTTAGGAAGGTCGTCGCAGACCTCTGCGAAAAGAATTTCACCATCTAGAAGGACTAGATTGACATCTACTTCGGGACCGGAGCAGTACCGCTCTATTACGAACTCAGTGCCGTGGCGCAAGGTATCAATGGACTTAATGGCAGCTGGGAGCGCATCGGGCGTGTCGACTCGGGATACACCTTCAGAGCTCCAGCCGTCGCATGGCTTGATAATAAGCGGATAGGGGAGATCCACCTTCTCTGCGATGGAGAGTGCTTCATCAAGACTGCTTGCAGAGTATGCCTGGTGGCCCACATACTTGCTCGTGAGAAACTTATTCGTCGCGATGCGGAGCGAGTCCGGCGGTGCTGTCTGCAACCCAAGCACCGGCGCGATCTGCGCAATGTAGTACCAGAACGAGTCCGCGAATGTCACGATCCCATCTACGGGCTTCCCATACGCCCGCAGCGAGGCCAGGATGTGGCTCCCTACGTCGGGTTCCGGCGGGTTCGTCAGGCGCGTCGGAATGAATGCCTCACGCCAGTGGGTCTGTGCCGGATCCTCGAGCCAGTGTCCTGCATTCTCTAGCACCACTACGTTGATGCCTAGCTCACGCGCGGCGCGGTAGAATCCGAGCCCATCTTGAGGATGGGCGCTGTTGGCGTCGACTAGCGCCAGAGTCTTGCGTTGGGGGGTGCCGGGTTGGATCCAGGGGAAGGAGAGTCTGTTGTCTAGGTCTGACTCGATCGCGTCGCTTCCCGGTGTGCTATCAGGGTAGAGAATTAGGCCGGCGGTGGCAGCCGAAATGAGTGTTGGCAAGTCCGTTGAACTCGAAAGTGAAACAGGTTGCCCGTTGTAGGTTTGTAGTGGCTGGGCGAAGGAAATAGCCGACTCGATGTGCTGTGAGTCGTGGAGTCGTAGTGGGATGATATTCGAGCGGATGATGTATCCGCTGTGTAGTGGGACAATCAGCTTCACAGCGCGTTTCCCTGACGCGCTTGCTGCGCGAAGAGTCTCCCAAAGAAACTGCAGTGCTGCTGCAGAGCCTAGAGTAGATGCTGTGATCTCCGCCGGCGCTTCGTCATTGCACACTTGATAGATGTAGACATCTTCGGGGGCGGCGAGGACACCGGCCGTCTGAGAGGCATAGCCCTCCCATAGCAAGAGGTCAATGGACTGCCAGGTTCGCTCGGTGTTGGGGACATCTAGAAGAGACCACCCGTACTCCCGGACGAGACCTGTGAAGCGTTAGCAGGGTCCATTTCAGGCTGTGGTGCGTAGCTTAACCTCATCTTTCTTCGACCGGACTTGGACTCTGTGAGAGGTGGGCATGGTATATATAGTAGTAGTATAGTAGTATCTGATGGATCAAGAATGCAGACAGTGGCGAGATGGTTACGACAGGGCAATGTTGCCTTGATGACTTGTATCTTACGACCTGATACCCCATGGCTTTATTCCGACGAGCTCGTCATCAATGAAACGCCGAGGTTACCCGAGACCTCATCCCTAATAATACTCGAACTAAGGCGCTTTTCGGACCGAATGTCAGAGCCCGAATTTCGGTCCGAAATTAATTTTAGGTAGGCTTTCAATTGGCCAGGCATGTCTAAGTAAATCATCTCATCAATACGTCTATGTGCATAAAAAGCCCTAAGAGGATCTAATCACGATTCGCAGCTGTCAAGTGCCTTCTCACAGGCAGCGTCTCAACCTTTCCTCAATCACGTAGAACCCTAGACAATCAAATTAGCATGGATCCAATGCGCCAAGGATATTGCTTGGATAGACATACCATAGGACTCATTCTCATCCACCCAACAATCCACCACTACGCCCCCAGCCTCCTCACAAACACTCACCATCTTGCTCCTCGGCCACTTTCCACTCCTGATAGACCTCACCCTGTCTCCTTTCCTAAACTCAAATATCTCCCCCCTAACCGTAACTACCAAATCCCGCTCTGCAACATAAAAGCTCTCATGCATCCATGTGTTCTGATTCCAACTGCCCCGGAAACCCCAGTCCCGTGCATCAAATACCTGGGCTCCGAGCAGTTCATTCGCATGCGCGAGCCCGTTCATCACAAACTTCTGGTTCGCAGGCCCTTCGTACGCCCGTGCAATCTCTGATTTGTCTTTGCTCCCGTCGACAGCGACGATTAGGGACGCACCTGTGGAAAGGAAGGCGCGGATGTAGGATGCTGCGTCGGAGGTGGTGTAGTTTGCCATGCTGTTGCCAAGCCACATTAGGGTTGTTCGGCTGCCATTGCCGTTGGGACTTGGACTGTGCTGGAGCCAGGACGCGCAGTCTTCGTATGTGGCGACGAGGCCCTGGATCCGGATCCCGCCTGAGCTTGTGGGCGGGAAGAGTGATTGCAGGTAGCGGATGCCGCGTCGGAGAGCGACGCAGTCGACGTCACAGGCTATATAGGTGATGCTCTTTCGTTGGGACTGCAATGCGCGGAGTATGAGGGCGGTTTTTTTCATGTTCCTAGATTCGCTTATCAGCTGAAGACTCGAGCCAAGATTCCTCCTCCTTCTGCCTTTCAGCACTTTGGCGAGTCACTCACCCAGCACCCAGTTCAATCAGTCGATCCCCTGACTGAATCGTCGAGACGATCTCATGTACAGCAGCACACAGCAAGGACCACTCCCTTCTAGTGAGATAATAGTCCGGAGACTCGAGGACAGCATCGAAGAGGGACAAGCCACGGTCGTTCCAGAGCAGGAGACCGGGTAATTCGCGTTCCTTGCTTCGAAGGCCGGCGAGGATTAGAGGGACGAGACTGGTGGGTGCTGTCTGACGACGGATATCGACGAGCTGAAGACCCTTGGATACATCGACGTTGTCCTGGGTGTGACCCTGACCCTGCCCCTGACTCAGATGGGACTTTAGGTCTGGGAACGTGATTTGAATATGGCTTGTCATTGCTATCGAAGTGTGACGAGTGTGGGTTGAGGGGGTGGTGATGGTGGTAGTCAGCTTCCTGTAGATATCAATGCTGGAGAGTTGCCAGTGTCGTCGGAGTTGATAGACCCTCTTCTAGAGGAAGGCATATGGGTACCCTCGGTGCTTATGGTGTTTCCGCATCCCGATATCACGTCAAAACTGAATATTCGGCTTTCTAACTAGGAAGGGTCTATATATAATATGTCATGTGGATTGGGTTCCTGATGTTTTGTGCTTGCTGCCCCATCCCGGTTTTGTATGCTTTCCTGAAGACGATATATCCAGAACCCAGCAGAGATTCAGTGCATTACACTCGCATTCGACTCAGTGATAACCACAGCCCTAGCCAGAGAATTGACTACACTGTGTAGGCATCGGATCTGTTGACCGAAGATCGGCGTCTATGTCCACCATGCATGAATGGAGCTGGAGGATTTCATCCCCCGACGACACTCGGAGCCCTAAATGAGTGAGGGCGCGGGATTCGGTCTCTAGATTTCGGTCTCCTCATCCCGACCTCATATACCGACCGCCATGAGGGTCTCTTGATGGCTGGATGATTGCACGATTGAAATCACGGTCCCTGTTGGATCCTTCTCTTGACAAAAGCAATCTTATAAAGCGATTCACATGGCTACCATATGAATATGATAGATGCTATTCCATCCGCTAGCATCATTCCTCACACCACACACCGAAATGTCTCTGCCAAGCTCCTTCATCATCGTCGGCTCGGGCGTGTTTGGCCGTACGTACACTACTACGTCTCCTCTCCCTCCTCCTCCTCCCTCCCTCACATCCACAGCAAAGAGACACACTGCTAACAAATATCCCCACGCAGTCTCAACGGCCTACGCCCTCTCCCTGCACCCACAGTTCGCTACCACAAAAATAACCCTAATAGACCGCTGGGACTTTGAACCCCACACTCCAACCATATCCCTCCACAATCCCTCTTCCTCAAACGCTGACACCACCCGCGTCATCCGCCGCGACTACCCGCACGGCCCCTATGCCTCTCTTGCCGCTGAAGCCATGACCCACTGGCGCGGCAGGTTCGGCGCAGACCAGCGATACGTTCACCAACGGCTGCTCTTTTCGGGGGAAGGGTCGAGTCTCTCGATCCCGGAATTGAAGAAGGGTGAGACGGTGAATTATATCAAGAAGGCTTATGAGATTAGTTGTGCGATGACAAGCGGTGGGAAGGATGTTATCCGAGTGGTTGATTCGTTGGATGAGATTAGAGGGCTGCTGGGGAATACGCCTACTAGGCCAGTGCATTTCCCGGAGACAGTGGATGCTCACGCCAACGGGTTGAGGGGGTATATCTCCGAGGACTGTGGGTGGGCGGATGCGGGGCGGAGCATTGAGTGGTTGAGGCAGGAGGTGCGGCGGCTGGGGAAGGTGGAGTTCGTCGTTGGGCAGGTTGAAGACCTGGTGTACAGCGAGGATAAGGCGGAGGTCAAGGGGGTGAAGTTAGGGGATGGACGTGTGCTCACGGCCGACGTGACGGTCGTAGCAGCAGGGGCGCGCTCCTCGCAGCTGCTGAACGTGCCGAAGCTGTGCGACGTGTACAGTGAGTTTGTGGCCTATATCCAGCTCACGGATGCCGAGGCCGATGAGCTCCGCCGCCGGAACTGGCCGATCCTGGTCAACTGCCACCGGGGTGTGTTCGCCGTGGGGCCAGACCACGAGAATTGCCTGAAGTTCGGGCATTTCAGTTATAGCGGGATTGCAGATGTGCTCAAGGAGGCCGGGATTGATGTCCCCACGAGGCCCGACGGCTGGGAAGCGCAGCAGAAATACTGGAGCGACCCGCGCTTCGGGTTCGGTGGAGACGTCCAGATCACCCCTCTAGGCGACCTAGACGACTACGAGCGCGCCGCCGCACAGCGCGCACTCGCCGATTACCGACTCTTCCTGCTAGAGCTCCTGGGCCCGACGGGGTTCCAAGGCGTCGACGCGCCGTCCTTGGGCGGCTCAGATATCCTGCTGAACCATATCGCCAATCGGCCCTTCACGCGGGTGCGCAAGTGCTGGTATAATGATACGCCGGCGTTGGATTTTGTGGTGGATTATCATCCGCGGTATGGGAAGAGTCTGTTTGTGGCCACAGGTGGGTGTGATCATGCGTTCAAGTTTCTGCCGATTATTGGGGAGAAGGTGGTTGCATTGCTGCTGCGGAATCGGGGGTATGCTGGGGGTTTGTTGCCGGAGGGGGTTGAACCCTCGTTAGAGGAGCTTGCGGAGCTGTGGCGGTTCTCACGGGAGCTGTTGCGGGAGCAGGGGAGCTCAGAGAGGGCAAAGCTTTAATCTATAGAACTGCTATCCTGTAGACAAGCTCCCGAACACCGCTCACCAAGAGATCTTAGTTTGTACTTTTATCCTCAGCCTAACTCGCTCTATTAGATATAAGTTGGAGAAACCGCTCAAAAGTCAATCTCATTCAGCGTTGCTTGAATCTCCTGTATCAACCTTTTGACCTGTACCTGACTCTTCCCGCCCCCGTAGCCGTCCCCAGAGTCATTCTTGTCCCGGCTACCCTCTTCAAACAGCATGTCCACCAGCTCCGCAGCGAGTTTATCTCGAATAATCCCGCCGCCACTTCTACCACCACCACCACCTCCTCCTCCTCCCCCTCCCTGAGCAGCTGTAGACCCAAACAATAGCCCCTCTACCTTCTCCAGAAGCGTTTGACTCACGTTCAGTAAGCACTCCAGTTGCAACGTGCTATGTCCGTCAAGCTCAAACCCGTCAATTCGTAACCCGCTAAGTGTAGGCGGGATCGTGGGCGTCGGTCGCGTGATGGCCTCAATTATCGACAGGAAGATGTCTTCGTATGACGCCAGGATCGATGTGTAGCAGAAGAGGATGGAGAAAAGTGTTGGGAGTGTAAGGGCTGGTGTAGGCGTAGCTGTCGTAGTAGATATACTATGCCTGTTGCGATTGTGCCCGGATACCTGGCCCCGGGCCTGGGCCTCGTCGACGGCAATCCCGCTGTCGTCTTGGGACCGGGAGTATCTGATCCGTTTCAGGATCGAGACGAATCGCTGACAGTGGTGGAGGGTTTGGCCGATGGAGCGTTGGTTCAGGGTGGGTTCATGCTCGTCCGGCCGTTGAGTCAAAGTATATTCGCGCTGGGATTTCTCCCGCAGTAGCGTTTCATGGAGTTTAGCAAGGTCATAGATAGATGACCTCGTTGGAGTGGTGGTGGTGTGTGTGGGATATAAATCTAATCGCCGGGATGGCGGGCCGTGGCGGTGGTCGTTCTGTCCGTCCAGTGTAGTCAGTTTGCGGACCTTCGACAGCGTTGGGCTGGGTGGGAGTTGTATGAGGGCACTGGGGTATGTGTCCATGTTGATGGGATCTGGATTCCAGTCTTCTGGAGCAGTCGGGTTTATCAGGTCGAGCATTGTGTGGTGGTTCTGTTCGTGGATGGTAACCGATACTGGATCCTGGTATAAATTGGAGTTCGATTCACCGATCAGGGGTGGGGTTCCCCCCTCCAAATCTTCGTCGCCGTCCATTCTATCCTCGTGGCTATATGTGATCCAGTCCGAGGGCATGGGTGGTTGGACCGTCGAAAGACGGTCGTTCGGCTGATCGTTGCCGGGAAACAAGAGGCCATCGGGCTGGACTCTTGGCGCTGAAGCCCGAGCAGCGACACTCCGGGGTTGCGAAAAGACCGAAGAGCCCCGCGAAGTGTACGAAGATGAGGACCGTTCGGAGGACGGTGGGGTAGGATTCAGCGTGCTTGTCTGAGGCCTCCGCGGGGCGGGCCGCACGGAATAGCAATCCACCTTGGCTCGTCGGCATCGGTCACAAGGGATGGCGTTCCTCAGAACCCGACTAGCCGGGTTTGCGATTGGCTGGGCTGAGCCTACACAGCGCAGCTTCTGGCCTCGGCAGCGGTCACAGGCGCCGTGGCGGCTGGTGCCGTTCTTGTCCATAGTTCGGGTTCAGTTGGGAGGAGGGCCTGGAGGCTGGAGGACTGTGCTGACTGACTTGAGACTTGACAGGGCTCCCGCGGTCGGTTTAATAGTGGTGGTCATGCTTCAGGGTAAGTGGGGGCTGAAAAAGCGTATTAGGGTATATGATGCTCCCCAGATGTTACGATAACCGAGGAGATGGGCTGATTAGTATATAAAGTTACGTACTCCGTACGGACTCCGCTGGCGGCTGACGCAACCCTAGACTCCCTAGACTAAGCATCCCGGTCTATGAGCCAATTTTTAGCCAATAAATCAATCTACTGCGCTCCCCCTGGTGTTGGACCGATAGATAAAGACAGAATAGACTAAATTTGGCACGCCTACAAATGCTGACCATGTGCACAAGAAGTCAAATGAGGCTCTGTTCTTTTCACAGCTACCATTAAACTCAGGCTTGGCTCAAACGGTGCAGCTAACATGATATCTACCTCGAACTAGACAATGATTTTATGACCAGTCTTCGAAGGACAAACAAAAATAGATTACCATACCCTTCGTTTCTGGATTGCCATTGGGTTCAACCAAAGGAAGCTACTCGCCTTTTTCAGGCCGACGAAGATGCGTTCAATACATTAGCACAAATGTTTAAAGTGGACCTGCTGGCGAAGTCCGCGCACATAAGCCACACGCCGGGAGGTTAGTAATTGGGTGGTCACTGGAATCCCTCCGGTTGTATCTGCTCGTTTGTTTGGATTTTAGTATTTGGCCATACTGATTACCGATGGTGCTTTGTCTTCACTCTTTTACATGCAGGGACTTGAGATCATTAGCTAGTCCCCTGGCCAACGACACACCTGCTACACAGTAGCCAGCGATAGGAATTTCTGTTCTCCAAGTTGTTAATTAGTAAAATGATGAGTATGGGAGTCTTGCTATAAATATATTAGTATATATACAGCCATCTCTCCCCAATAATCCGATCACTCAAGTTGCCGAAGTTATAGTACTGTATTATAGAATATACAGGATAGACCTTGTCCCTCTGCCATAATAATATAACCAGAGAAAGGGACTAAGACGACCGGAAAATACATGCAAAGAATGTTGTTTTGATCCCCTCGCGGTCTCTTCTTACACCCTTCTCAATCAGGTCGATGCCGAGCTGCACCAATTCCGATTCCTGCTCGTCCGTACAGGTAGGTGCATATACGTTCCAGTAAAAGAAGTTCTCTCCAATTTGCGCCACGGTCCGATGGGCCGCTTCCTCGTCAAGCGGGGGATAGGTACCGATCAAGCCCTGGATCATCGACAGTGCAACCTTGGAGCCATATAAAATTTTCTGCATATACAGGTCAGCCACCATTTCGGCCAGGTCTCGTGTGTAGTCTCCCAAGCAGCATGCTTCCCAGTCGATGACTGCCAGGGATGCGTCTTTCTCCTCGTCGATGGCCGACGGGTTTTGAATCAGGATGCTGTTTGGTGTGTCCATTAGCGTCGAAACAGTTACCATATATCTGGACTCTCCAGAAACTTACTTCCTGGTTGAAAAGTCACCATGAAGGACTGTGTCCTTCCGTCCAAACTCTCGTGCGTGCATCAGCGCCGCGTAGTGTGTCAGATGCTCCGACTCGCACTGCCTTTGGATCGCGAGGAGCTTATGAAACCGGAAGTCTCTTAGGTTTCTGTCGAAACCATTGCTGTTTTGTTCAACAATGTTCCACAAATCCGCATCCACCGGGGTCTTCGACCAGGCGTGGAAGCGGGACAGCCAGCTCCCCAGGGCCTCGCCCAGGGCCACGGCGGTCGATACAGTGATGCGCTCTCGAGTAGCAGCCGATGTCAGGAAGTCATGCAGTGTGCCATTTTGGGAAAAATCTTCGAATATTTGAGTATGCTGGTCAGGAAGATATTGATAGAGTTGGGGAACCTGGATCGAGATCTGTTTATGCTGCACTTGGTGAGATGGGGTACCTCCCACTCCCCTGAGAACGGCCTGTTCGGCAAGCTAAAAACCAGTGTTAATTGTAGCTCTGTTGTGGAGTGGAGAGGGGAGAAGAATCTGTGCATGGGACGTACGCATCGAGTCAGGGATAATGTGAACTGCGGAAAATTAAGATCCTTCTCTTCGCTGTGCTTGATGATTACCGTGCGCATCCCATTCTGCAGTGGTTTGATCAGTGACCCTCGGTATGTCGTATTCAACAATCCCCCATGTATTCGCTGGACCGAGGAGCAGGCGTATAACGTGGGACGAAGCGATTCGAGAATGGCGCGATCTGGATCAGGTTTTTGCTCTTCCACCACTTGGATGGCCGGGGGCTTGACCGTTTCCATAGTGCCTGCGGTGTCCATGATATTGATATGCGTGCGATTCCAGCTCCAAAATTTTTTTTCCAACAAAATAGTCTGGGGACAAACCATGGCCCCGCAGGGATATTAAATGCTGCGTAGGGTTAAAGCTCACGCGATCCAAGCGGTCTTCGTTATCTCAATTAGGCAAGCCATGTCGATCTTTTTGCGATAGTCCATCCTCGCTGGTCCCGGTGTGGATCGTTGTATCCCTCAGTATTGGCTACATTGCCGGTCCGCCCAGACTTTGGTTCAATTTCTGGGCTTCAGCTTTTGTGATCCCCGCCGATCTGGTGGGGTCAGTAGATCGGTCACCATCCGAACCATATCGTGTAGCATCTTGTGGGCATGCACTGATTAAATATCTACCGCGAGATGAGCTTACCACAACGTTAACGAGACGGATGTCCCCTATTAATATCAACTATTAGGTTTAAAACCGGATAAATTAAAAGGCTGTGCCATATATCTTTATTAGTATAAGCCGCTGATATTGTTTTGTATTCTCTATTGGGAAGAATATTGAGTATCATTAATAGCTTGGTGTCTCTCAATTTCCTCTAGGGTGTAATGATTATTATTATTTACTGGAAGTAGATCTGGTGAGCTATTAATGTTTTTTTTTTCCTTTTCTTTCTTTCCTTTTTTTTTAAAAAAAAAAAACAAAAAAAAGAAAGGCTCAAACAGCTATATATTCTATCTCCAAATACACATATCTAACCAACAGTGTACTGGTCTGGATTTAACATTTGGAAAGTGGACATAGTATAACCAATAGGGAGGTCGTCTAAATTTTCAACTTACATTTGCTTTTTCGCTTTCTTTTCCTGGAGGGAAAAGTTAATCATGGAAAGCAATCTGAAAGAGTCAGTACTAGAGATTCCACTTCAGCTTTATTATTTGTTGAGAAGAGGGTTAACAGGAATGATAAGGCTGTTATATATATAATATATATATTGGCTTGTAATTTCTCATTTATTGTAACTTGTCCTACAGTTGATATCAACACGTCACTTAGAAGACACGCCCTCTTGGTTCAAACCCAGTGCCGGTCCTTGCTTTAACTGCACTCTACGAAGAGACATGTCTCTTCGGCCAAGCTCATATTGATGAAACTATATACTCTGTATGAGTCAATTTTAATGATGGCTGCGCTTGCACTGATCCAATGCCTGGCTATCATACTGTATAGATAAGCCATCTACGCCGCCGAAATCATGGAGACAACCTCTCGATGCACGATCTCATTCGTGGAAAATGACTAGCAGCTCTATACCCTCCGCTATTGCATCCCGGGCCCCGAGGCTACAACACGCTTTACCCGCAATGAATACGACCCCAAAGCATAAGCTACTGCAGATGATCTGAGTGCAATATTCCAGCAGAACGGGCTATACAAGGATTGTCGGTAAGACGCCCAGCAGAGGTGTCATGACTCCATTGCGCAAGTCTTGAAATCTGAGTGTCCATGGTGCCTATAATAGGGATTTCACACTGGGAGACGTAGGGTAAATAAGACTTTACTCCGGAGTGTCATAGTATTAAGCAGTCGGAGCATTATAGAGTGTGTGTACTGTAGCAGCATGCCTGTAAGAGCGTGTTGCCCCCTTTCCATAAGTGGGATGAGCGCCTTTCTTTCAAGGATGAGGTCCTAAAATGAGATTACTGGGGCGTCCTGGGTGTGTTTTATGCGTGATTTCTGCATGCTGTTAGGCTTACATGGGAAGGGGCGGCAATTATTACTCCAGACGCCGATTGCAGCGCAAAGATGGATTTTGAGTTGTATCCGTCCTTGTTGGTTGACTCTTATATTAACCAGATGATTATTCTGAGATTTCGTTGTCTCATTATTAAACTGTAATTGTCTATGAAAAGTTCACATCAAAACTTTTAACTTTTGCGCCCTCGCTCGGACGGTTCCGATAAAACAATCCTCTGTCGCCTTCCATGGGCAGATCGGCTTTCACCTACACCACTTGACCCCAGCGAGCTGGACGGTAATGGCTCAGAACTGGTTGGACTCGTGGCCAGTGCTATCAAACGACCCAAAATAGCGTATTCCAGTTTGAACTTCAGGCTGTACGCCACCGGTTTGAAGGTCACTTGAAGGGCATAGTATCCTGCGAATTGAATCCCGACCACAGCCACGTCGAGAATAATGATAAAAATATTGATAACCAGGAATTGGCTGAGAATCTTATAGTGAAGTGGACCGGGATGCAAGCGCAGCATTTTTGCTGTTTCCCACAGGTATATGCCGGAGATCAACAATTCTTGGACGCAGAAGATGACCAGCTGAACACGCTCCATGATGTCATACCCTCTCGTACATCGACTTGCCAGAAGTGCATTATTCGAGTGACTCCCGTACAGGAGGACTGCCGTGGAGCCATGCAATATGATTGCGTCAATAATGATCATTGCAAGCGTCAGATGGAGTACTCTGGGCGACCGTATGATAAGGTGTAATCGCGACCATAGGATGAGGGAATGGCCTGTTACCATACAGGACCAGCTCACAATGATCAGGGAGATCGAGAGATAATAGGTTATCCCGGGATAAAAAATGTAGAAGATGTAGCCCAGGCATATTGGGAAGAGACTGAGCGACGCGATTAACAGACTCCAGAAGTACCAGCCCCGGTAGAACCTAAACGTCGATAGACAGAAGACGACTAGCTCAGCAGCATTGTACCACGCGATGGCGACAAATACTGCTATGATATATTTCTCGACGGAGTTGAGGATGCTATTTTTTGGATGGAACAGCTCATCGCCCGGAGCCCGCGTGGTAAGGGTCGAACGACTGACTCCTGGGCCAGATCCCATGCATGAAACTGCGACTAAGGGGCGAGATGGGTGAACGAAGAGAGTGAAATGTTCCCAGGGGAGGTTGAGAAAAGGAAGTATTACGAACTGAAAACTCAAATAGCCGATACGGCAGTGATCGATTGATCTAGACCAGAATCAAACCATGATCTACATACCCTGCATCCTTCCAATCGACGATCCGGTACACCGCAAGCTTGGCCGAACCCAATAAGATTATTGTGAGAGTAACTCATCTGCAAAACCAGATAGGTGCTTGGTAAATGCCAGTCAGTGCAGAGAATTTCCTCTCAGAAGTTAGAACTCGCATCGTAAAGAAGGTTTGACACTGCCGAGTGAAACCTGAACACAGAAGTTTTTTGACGTCAAGACATGATCGACACATTTGATCGACTGCGAATCATGGTGACCGAATTGCGTCCCACTATTGATCTTGATGCCGTTAGTGGCTCGCATCCTGGATCTCATTGAACGCAAACCAAGGGTATAGCAGCCAAATGCGGGTATCATGCCGTATCAGGTGGAGGCACCGCGAAAACGTTAAAATATATCTAGACAGGGGAACCGGCCAAAAGGAACAAGTCTATTTGACAGGCGTATCCAAGGGCCTTCGTTATGTTTGGTCTTGCAGGGGGCGCCGGAACTTTCTCTTCTCTTCTCATTTAATTGTAGACGAGTTAGGGTCTCGGTTTTCTCTCATATCATTTAATCTCCCGATAGCGTCGCGTTGAAGGTTCAATCATATTATTGAGATGGCGTTTGTGGTTACATCGTGCGCTTTTCAATATGTGGTCGGTAGTCCGTAGTCTGTAGGCTAAGAAGCGAATGCCACTAATTTAGCACTAGAGTGGCCACACGGAGGAACTTATACCATTCATAGTCAAAAGAAACATCCGTGCCCACACAATCGGAGGGGTTGATATGGGCGTCGCCCTGGCTAGCGCTTATTAGCTCATTTGACCGTGTGTGTCTTGCCTTGAAAACTTTTGCACAGTGAAAACAATCAAAGCCCCGTGTCTTCCCCAGAAAATGCCATCTCACATCTGCGAGCACGATTCATCATGGTCATCCCTTTGGGGCGGCTTTCTGCCCTAAGACGTTTCTCCAGTCTCTACTTTTACCTGGCGATCACTTGTCTTTTGGTTATGTTGGCAATGATGGCTGCCATGGGAGACACGGTCGAGGAAGAGCCGGGCAGTGGGATGACAGCGCACGGCCTTCTAGAGCCCAAGCTCAAGGTCATGATTGTGGGTGACTCCATGTCTCAGGGCCGAGAGGGCGACTGGACCTGGCGTTTTCGCATCTGGGAGTGGTTTAAAGATCAAGGTCTTACTGTAGACTTTGTAGGCCCGTATAATGGCACAGCTCAGTCGGACCTGCCCTCGCTACCGGCAACCCCCTCAGGCAATGAAGAGTCGCAGTGGGAGAGCGAGATCAGAACGAGTGGAGGATACGCAGCCGGTGTGTCACAGGACTTTGATAAAAACCATTTTGCGATTTGGGGTCGTGCCGTCGCAATAGACAAAGGGCTAATCTATGATGTCCTCGCCGCCTACCCTGCCGACTTGATACTTTTGATGTTGGGTTTCAACGACATGGCCTGGTTTCACAGCGACGCCGCAGGTACTGTGGACAGCATGCAGACGTTTATTTTGAATGCCCGTGCAGCTAATCCGAGACTTAAATTTGCTATCGCGAATGTACCCCAGCGAACCTTTATCAGCGGTCGGGAAGATCTCCCCGTCAGCACCAACATATACAACGCGTTATTGCGAGAGGCGATTCCCAGATGGAGCACCCTGGATTCACCAGTCCAACTAGTCGAGCTGCACGAGAACTATGATTGCGCGCCGATCGCGTGTCCCGTGGGCTATGATGGTCTTCACCCAAATGCCCAGGGTGAATATCAGATTGCTCGGGCATTCACACTTACTCTGGTGAAAGATTTCGATATCGGCGCCTCTCCGCTGTCTGTCCCTACCGTGTCTGGTGGGCCATTATCTATATCATCCAAGTTTCAAGATGTTGGTAGTCTTCCGCAGGGGGTACCAGATATGATAATATGAGCCGGCTACCTTTATGCCCAAGCCAATACGAACCGCCACGAGTCCCACCCCGTCGATTTACTGTGTCACCAAATATGCCAACAGGCTCATATGTACTAGGCATGCCCCGCCTATGGAAAGAGCTATCAGCATTATCGGCGTCGGGACAAGCTCCTGCAGCACTTGTATGGTTCCATTACTGGAACTCGCCAATGCTAGGAGCCACGACGTTTCCCTTAAGACACGATGAATTAGTGTATAGTAGACTTCATAGTTTGGTGAATAATGTTGGTCCACTGTTAGATCCGACTTCTATAGACAATAAAGAAAGCTAGAAGTCACAAAAGGCTTTTTCAGCAACCAAGCAGCCGGTCGGTAGATAAGCGGTAAAGTCCATGTAACCTAGAAAATGAGGTTGCATATCTTCCCTTCGTAAGTTACAAGTACATGCAGCACATCGCACATCTGTCTCCCTAGGACCAATCAGTTTTTCACAACCTAAATTCCCCTTTACAGAAACGCAGGAGCGACACATTCAATTGAATAGATAGCAACTGAACTGCCCTATGCGTCTTGTGATGTCTACTATGTATCTCGCACTCACCCTGCCATTCAGCTTTTCGCCGTATTCAAGCCACGATATATGATAGCATCCTAGTATACTCCAACCCCAAAACTAAGTATACATGTTCATCGAGTACCTGTTTCTATACAAAGCTGAACCCTCTGTGTATCTATAATCGATTTGTCAACTGTTTTCTCTTCTAAGCCATTCTCGTGAAAGGGGTTCTATTATACGCGAACTTCCAAAAAGAAAGTGCACAATGGGCTTCTCGAAGAATACAATTGCCACTCTCCTATTCATCTTTGTTTTTAAATAGCTTTATTCACAGTGTCTTTATTCTCAATGTCTTTGTCCTAGGCAATATAAATAGGGCCTTCAGGACCACTCACATACATAGTCGGATCGAGACTTTTTCTCCACCTGATCTGACGTTTTGTCATTATATAAAAGCTCCCAAGCGCCCAGGAGGATTCAACTACTCTTCTCTCGTTTGATTTATCTCTTCTAGAAAGATCTCACCATCGGTCTCTAAATCTCTTCTTCCTCTTTGTGGAGATGCCCTTCTCAGGTTATTGATCTTGGTGCAATGTATATGATGTCTTGTCCTCCAACGCGACGAAGGCCTTTACTTTTGCAAGCAGCAAAGATAGTTTCGCGAAGCAGGACATAGGCTATATATCATGTCCTTCTCAGTCCACTATATTGACATACTGGCAAGCTTCAAGCTGTGCTAGCTTTCTGAGCGCCTCGACATCGCTGGATACCCATCCGTTATGTTGGACGTCCAATATCGCTCACAGGCTCGTCTTTACGCTCCCGCTTCTGAATTTCCCTACAAGGCACAGGTGCAGCCACCTTGCGTGGATTGTCCCGCGAGCGTCAACGGCCTGTTGTATGCCACTATAGCTGTGAAGTGGTGCCATTGAACATAGCATCTCACTCGGAAGATTAGGTTCTTGCACTACGTGGGTAAGACATCCCACGACGTATCCTGGTTGATTCTCAACCAGGGAGGAGAAGAGGTTGCTGTCCAGTTGGCGAGAGGTACTACGGTACTTTCGAGATGTCCTGACCGTCTTTCTATACAAGCCGCAACTGGCTTTAGCCTCCTAGGAATGGGAAGCAACATACCCGGGAACGGGGACGAAGCCACGCATCCAGACCACCCTTGACAAGTTTATATTCGTTATTGTTTTAGGCTTTACGAAGATTCCTTACGACTGGAAGACTGGCTCTTAGACCACGGTAGTCTCTTGCGCCATCCTACGTAAATATTAATGTGTCAATTGATATTAGACCGGGCAGTGCATTGGGCAGGAGACATTAGTTTAGCTTGTGGTATTATACTGGTCAAGTTCCTCGTTGAAAAACTTGCTAACATACACATGTGGGTTTACTCAGCTGATAAAGCATAGAAATCCTATAACCAAGACCTAGCGGCGCCTCAGAGACAGAGAGATGAAATTATAATATTTAAAACAAATGATGCTCTCTAATGTTAATGTATAAAGGCCAACCAAATTAACCCCATTACTACTATAGCACTTGAGAGACTCGCCTTCCTCGCTGCAGCACCGGAGCATCCGAATTGATTAATCTCCTTCGAGTGCCAAAGTCAATTCTCTAACTGCTCATGAGTACTCTCTGTGGCATTGCAATATGCAGCACAGCTCTCCTTGCCAAAGTAGCCTATACTGCCGTTGACTTCATTGCAGCATTCTCCTAACGTTGTGTAGGGGTCTTGTGATGCGTTCCAGCGTTGGTAGATTGGTAAGCCGCAGGCATTGAGATAGAGGAGCTCCGGGAAGCCGGTGTTGTTTGCACAGTGAGCGGGGCCGATTGATGCCATTCTGTGTCAATGGGTGTATATTTGTTTGTATATAGGAAGTGTCAATGTAGAACTCTGTATTCTTTAGTTGACTGTAAGTAGAAGTATATATCCGGTAGGAGGAAGTAAGAGCCTACCAATGGTTGGTCGAGGTGCTGGAAATAGATATTGAGAAATTTAGACCTCCCTCGAAAAGAGTTATCGAGACATTAACAAGTATCTATCGGTATAAGAAAGCACATGAAGGAATTTTGCACAGATTTAACATAGTCCAACGAAGCACTCGACAGACATGTGGCTGAAAATTATATTATGAAGACCTCAAGGTTGTATTCAGGTAGTGCTAATCAGAGATAGATTGAGGAATTCTATAAAATTACCTAAGTAGTCACTAGACTTAGTCCGTTTGAGCTAGTCATGGGGCATGTCTCTTGGCTGTTAACCACTGTTTAGTCAAGAACTTATTACTGCCAAGGCGTCTTGGGAGGCCAAGCCCGCCTACACTAAGATGTTAGCATATTTTGAATCTAGCCTAGTCCAGCAAAGGCGCGGTGCTACTCCTGTTGGTCTTATAAATCGTGACTAGTGCAGAAGGCAAAAAGTATATTATTATTCGAGAAAGCCTGTTTAGAAAGTGTTGTGGGATTTCTTAATTAAGATCAAGCTATAGCAGTAAGTTTGATAGCTGGGCACTGGGCAGGTTGGATGATCAATAGAGGTTGTATATTATGGCCTAGAATGCAGAGTCACTCGGAGCCATTTAAACTTAACTAATTTGTAGTATGTATATCTATAGACAGATGAATCTGATGAAGGCCTCGGAAGTGGTCCATACGGTATGTTTCTCACCTCAATAATCTCTCTATAGGCTTGAAAATAAAACCTGAAATTAGCCTTGGTTGACCATCCAAATCTGCGAAGTGCCTAGTTACGTCTTAGGGTTGCACCTGGCCTCCAAAGAAGATGCCTAGGCAACTGTAGATGTTCTGTTTTTATTATAAATTAGCGCTCTTATTTAAGCCTTTTTACCTAACGCCTCTGCTAATCATCCAACCTGCCAAGGGTCTAGTTCTGTCTTAGCGAGGGCTGGACTTGGCCTCCAAAGATGACCTGGTAGTTGTAGGTATTCTAAATACTAGTTGGTGTCTAGCATGATGTATAGCTAAGCCAAACGAGCCTCTCAGCAGCATATGTCTGGTAATTAGTTTTATATATACCGTAAACTAGCCTGGTTCGCGACTGTATGGTCCATGTATAGTTAAGATCTGTACCCCTGAGTCCGGGCTACCGGCTACCTTTCCAACTTGTTGTCCCCGCCAGCTAATAAAACGCGGTATACAAAGTCCTGGCATATTTTCCTTCACCTGTCTAATCAATAATCAATTGGGAATTAAATAGACACTGGTGGAGGTTTCTGAGGTGGCTCGTAAGGTATAGTGCCATAGCTCTAATCTTATTTGTTCTATATAGATATAATATTAAAAGTTGAAATTCATGACAAGGCGTAAGCATATCAAGTCATTGATGTTTATCTAGTCTTTCTCGTAGTGTTTCATATTGTTTAATCTTCTGAGGGGTTTTCCACAGAGTCATACCAAATTGAGCAGCTTAAGTAGTCTCCATGTGAACCTCTTGGCAGAAAGGCTGCGCTGTGTTAACCATAGGATTCTCAGGTTCCATACACCTGGCCTTACAAGCCAAGGATACAGATTTGCTTTGATTTGAGCCAGTGCGTCATATAGCATTAACGACGGTAGGCAAATTTATTCCATGGCAAGCTCTGGATAGGAACGAGGATGTAACCTTAAGAATAGAGACGGTGGATCAGCATGCCATTCGGTTCAATTTCTACCAATATCAGCTTGAAAGGCAAGAGAGGGAGAAAGGGGGGGAGAAGGTATTGGCAGATATTGGAGTCACCGCAGGTATATATCAAGGCCGGTAAAAAGGACAAGAATCACTTCATCAAAGCATATTCCGTTCTACTATTCCGCTAATGATGCACATTTTACTTCCGAAGAAAAGGCCGAGTATAACGATCGAGTAACTCCCGCTTCCAAAATTCAGAACATTATTGCCGGTGGAGGTCTATAAAACCGTCAGCGGACTGTATGACTATGCCCTCCTTTTCTTCTACTGACATCTTGCCCCGGACTCCTTTCAATGACATTACTGGTATCCGTTATGATAATCAGAAAATTAAAGGATAAAATATCATCCATTAGTCTTTCGTCGAGGAGGTCAACAGACCGTTTTCAGAAGATTTTCCTTTAAATGTCAGTGTTTCAAAGGTTCGAATGCTAGCGTCATAGGACATACAACTTGGCCTGGCATGGCTCTTGGAGGAGCAGTACCCCATTCCCCACATTCTTACGATAGCGGCAAATTCCGCACTTTTGCGGCAGGGACTCCGGAATTGGCAGAGAACCCGTGATTTAATAAGAGAGTGATAACAGTTGAAAACGGGGCCTTCGTCACCAGACGGCACTCCTTATCTCATGTTTGGAGAGGGATCCGCATCTTATCACAGTAAAGAAGATCAGGTACTAGTCAGGCAGCAGGTCCACATGTCGTCCTATCTCCAAAACATTTTAGATGAGGAGAAAGAAGCAGACGTGGGAACAGGAGTCAATGCGTCAACGCAGGGAAAAGGGAAAGAGAAAGAAAAGGAAAAAGAGCGGAACGGTGATTCCGTGGTGCGGAATATACCAAGCGTCTGTGCTCAATATGTAACTATCGAAAGCCAAATATCCCTTCGTCCAAGACCTTTTCTAACTCGTCATGAAAACCCATCGCTGGGACTTTGCACAAGAATTCTTCCTTCTTGATGGGATACCAAGCACTAGATATCAAACAATAATAGTTCGCACTTATACATGTGACAGGCTAGTTGGGAGGAATACCAGGAAGGTACTTCTTAAAATCAAATATACCAATAGAAATGTTAACAGATATACCTAAGTGCCCTAGCTTCGCTCCAAAACTGGAGACATGTAGACCCATGATTCTGTATACAGTATCTGGGGGACCAATCGCATGCCCTATCCTGGTCGAACATTCCGCACTCCGCAGATTTGAGATCAACCGTTTGGGGTAAAAGCAGGTGTTTCCTCAGATAGGGTATGGCTGGCTACCTCGACGACAGTGGCCTACAGTAGCCATTCCTCCTAATCCCGAAAAGGTGGAAATACTAAGTATACGGGCTGCAAGCCATAGCATCGGAATAATATTTTCCGGCTGTTTTTACACTTGAATAATCAACTAAGCGAACGGTCTCTCGGCAATTGGGCCGTTTCTATTTGCTGATCATGTTATACTACTGTAGGCTTGTTAGTACGGCGACTAAATCTAGCACCGAGATGAATAGTGAAGCTGGATGAGAAGCATTGCACATTCCATTAGCCCTACAGACATGTAGCTTCCAAATCCCCCCTAAAAGGATTGCCGCTATCCCACTGCAAATAGAGCATGTGGCATATGATGATCATCAAATCTGCCAAAATATTCCAAGACCTGTGCTTCTAAAGCCAGGGACACTCTCAAGGGCAAAGGGTTGGGAGGAGCATCACCCTGTAGGTTCGGCTTCTAGAAGTAGCACGCGCGAACCGACCTATCTTATCCTTCCAAGAGTTCTGTGCTCAAGCACTGATAGCGACTTGAACTCTTTTACACCCATATAGATAGATGAAGAAGTGGTCTGCGGGGTTGAGTCCGTTAGTGAATCCAAGGATGGCTATAAAAGCAGATAGATTCCTGAACATCTCTCGTTACAATTAACCTTCTGATCCTAACTATCATGGCTTCATATTCCAATGAGAGAGACTTTTCCACTAACAAGCTTGAGCATGAGCTGACAAACATTGATGATGACGAAGAATATTCCTACGAGGAACAAAGAAAGATCGTCCATCGCGTCGATCGAAGGCTTGTTGTTATCGCCGGACTCGGGTACTGCATCAGCTTGATGGATAGATCTAATGTTTCTACTGCCTCAATAGCAGGGTAAGATTGTTGCGCATTAACCGCTCATTTTATTCTGCTTATCGGTGTTTCATTTCCGCATGGAAGTCACTAATAACTTTAGGATGAACGAGGATTTGAAAATGACTGAAGGATATCGCTATGTAAGTTTATGATTCCGATATAGTATGGCTGTCCTATCTAACTAGACTTACAAAGTCTTTGGTAATGCTCATTTTTTTCATACCATATGTGCTCTGCCAGCCCTTCGCGACTGCTACAATTCGAAAGTTTGGCCCACGAAACTTCCTGACCACAATGGTTATGTGTTGGGGAGGCATTACCATTGTACGTTATCAACACTGTATGATAGGTATCAGCTAACCATATCTCCAGGGCATAGGATTTACAAAAACATGGAAGCATGTCCTCATCGCGCGGACATTCATGGGAGCCTTTGAAAGTGGCTATTTCCCAGGCGTGGTATATCTATTGTCATGCTGGTATTCTAGATGTATGTTGGGATTATTGACGATCATGCCCTAGGTATAATGACACTTACATGGCCCAGATGACATGCACAAGAGATTTTCGATGTTCTACTCAATTGGCCTCTTCTCACAAGCAATTGCCAACATCCTAGCATATGGGCTTACTCACATGGATGGCATCGAGAATCTCGAAGGTTGGAGATGGATCTTTATCATGGAAGGCGTGGTCCGTTGGCATGACCCACACTAATTGCAGTATATGGAGGCTGACCTAGGAATATTTCCACTTGCAAGATCACGTTGGCTATAGGCCTTTTGGCATTTTTGACGCTTGTAGACTTCCCAGACAAAGCACATCGGTCATGGAAATTTCTCAATGAAAGGGAGTGCGCGTTTATCATCCGCCGAGTGAATAGAGATCGAGGGGATGCTGAGCCCGAAGACTTCTCAATCACGAACTTTCTTGGACATGTGGCGGACATTCGGCTCTGGGGCTACGGTCTTATCTTTTGGTATTTGAATTTCCCCGAACACGGAAATAGATAACCTGACAGTACGATTAGTTGCCTGATGACTGTGACCTATTCCATCGGGTACTTTCTTCCACTGATCTTACGCAACGGCATGGGGTTTGGTGTTGGAGAATCTCAGTATCTGAGTGCACCACCCTACGTATGGGCTTGCATTCTCATGATCGTTGAAGGCTGGATTGGTGACAAGTACCGGCTACGAGGGCCAATTCTTATCATCAACGCTTTGATGCAACTAGTGGGAATCTCATTGATGGGTTTAGCGAAAGGCAATGGCGTCCGATACTTTGGAGTGTTTCTAGTGACAGGAGGAGTAAACGCCAGCGCACCAACTGCTCTGGCATACCAGGCGGGCAATATCCGCGGTCAGTGGAAACGAGCCTTTTCAAGTGCAATGATGATTGGAATGGGTGGGATTGGCGGAATTGCCGGATCCTTGGTCTTTCGCTCCCAGGATGCCCCTGAATATTATCCTGGGACCTATGCCAATCTTGTGTAAGTTTCCCCGTCCAATTCCTGTGCGACAGCATCCGTAACCTGAGTCATGTCGCAACAGTGCATCAGCCTTGATTATCGTGTTGGTACTAGCCTTGAGCGTGTCCTTCGTTTTTGCCAATCGGAAAGCTCATCGGGGCCTGAAACTGCTCGAAGGATCGGCTGAGTTCAGATACACACTGTAGCAAGGGCTTTACTCAAATTCGTGGGGAATTATGAGGCAATTTACCGATCGCTTTTGTGAACAATTAGGATCTACACATCTAGGCCACCACCCTGTAAGTCATGGTAGGTACCAGATAACTCTTCTACAATCTCACACGGAAGGCTATAAAGCAGTTTCCTATAGAAAGTCACTCGGCGGAGTTTTCCCTGGTGGGTTCATTCTTATCCGCGCGACAACATGCCAATCGAGCCAATCCACCAGTAAAGGAGTTGCGGTTAGCGGCTTCTTTCTCTTACTGGTCCAATTTGCTACCACATAAATGAAATACAGGATCGTTATTGGGTGTGTAAGTAATTACTTTTCTTTAATTTGTAACGGAGCTACTTAGTAGGTCGCTGAACGATGTGCTAGGTAGGATTTATTGACGATGAGAAATAAGCTCATATGTTGTCAAGCTTCTTGTTACTGAATTAAAGTGATCTCGATGGATATCTGTCCCAATTGCGGAGATTTCTCGGGTTTTGCGCCTAGTCGTCGGTCTCCTATATCTGTCAACTTGACAAGACACAAGAATGGCGACAGATCAGAACCAGCACGCTTGCGAAAAACTGTAAGGCAGCCTAGAATAGCCTTCCAAAGGATGGCGTGGATATAAATGGTCAAATATCAGGCCAGGTTTTACCAGACCCGCATGAAGTGTAGTTTGCTGTATTTAGGTATGTGCGTTCAGGCAACCATCCATATGGAGGCTGCATCTATAGTAGAAATGCCAACAAGCTTCAGGGTATCACCATATCAGATTGTAGTACAGAGTACAATCCTATCATATATCTCACCGTGGCGCACAACACACGGTTCACTTATTCCCATCCTTTCTCAATAGTTGGGCAATAGTTAGATGATCCACTTTGACCTGTCATGGTGGCGATCCATCTCTCAACTTCCGATCACTGGTGTGACCAATATATGGGCGTCGACTCGGAGAAGATTTCCGATGGCCTCAAAACGAACAAAATCTTAACGGGGTTAGATCATCTGGGTGTCATAGCTCCATAATTACTCAGTCGTTCTCCTGATCAACCTCTTCTCCCAATACTTCCGAGCAACCCAGGCTCCTTCGGTTTATGTCCAGCAGGATCCATGTATACTCTCTCTACAGCATTATGGTCTTATCTACCATTACGGATGCTCTTTTATTCTTCTTTGCTATATTTTCAATGTTCATCCCTTTCGTACTATTGGAGAAGGTGGCCGTTCAAGGTATATGTCGCAGGGATACCGAGGTCAAGATCATGTACTTCTGTAGTTTCCGGAGACAGCGAGTTCAAGGCGACCTGGGCACCAAGGTTCTTCACGCCACCAGTGACGAGAGTAACTTTGCCAGTGAGAAACATTTTAAACTCAGCTTCTGTTGAGAATATTATTCTTGAATATTGCACAAAAAAAAGTGTAGATTGGGAGTCAGTTGGGGCTTATACTTGACATATTTTGACCAAGGCTTAAGACCGGGTATTCAAATAATAATAATTATCGGAGTATCCGGTAGTGGAGTTGAATCCGATCTAACTTTTAATTAGGTTTTATATGTAGTATCTACATTCGGACTAGCGCGGAACATATCCATACGATGTAATAACTCTTTGAGGATAAGAAGAGGTTAGCTCTAGCGAACTCCTAATTTATGATCCATCGATTGCGTCATCACGTGAGATCATCTGATTTTTATTACGATATAATCTACCAACAACTTCGTGTCTGCTCAAGCACGCTGCACACTAGTAAACTGGATGACATGGATTTAAGACCAATGTACGGGGAATAGCCCTGGGTGCCCCGCCAGAAACTTACAGTGAGTATCGTTTATTCCGGAGTTAAGTTGTAATCACCGCTGCGGATCAACCTCTTCATACTACTTAAGACGGAACCAATTGCCCATCTATCGTGACTTGCCATTGGTTTCACTGCCGGCAATTTGTCAAGAATTATATATCGCACTTCTAATTTTCACGATGCCTTCACATGTTACATTCAAGAGTGGTGTCTGGCGCGTGACCGCCAACCTCTACCGTCCAACTCCCAAAGCTTCTTTGAACAGAAAGAAGGCTGCTATTGTCGTCGGCCATCCGTTTGGAAGTGTCAAGGAGCAGACATCGGGGCTCTATGCTGAGCGTTTGAGTAAAGAAGGCTTTGTGACTCTTGCATTCGACGCTGCTCACTATGGCGAGAGTGAAGGAGAGCCCCGCTACCTGGAAGATCCGTACCAACGCGTGGAAGATTTCAAAGCGGCTGTGACATTTCTCACCACCCTAGACGATGTCGACCCCGAGAGGATTGGTGTCCTTGGCATTTGTGCTGCCGGTGCCTATGTATCCTTCGCAGCGTCAACAGACGTCCGCATGAAGGCTGTTGCGGCAGTTAGCTCTCTGGAGATGGGCCGCTTCTTCCGCGATGGTTTGGGTAACACTCAGTCCACGGATCAACTCCGTCAGGGCCTTGCTCACGCAGCCAAGCAGCGCAATACGGAGGGTGCAGGAGGTGAACTGGAAGTCGCCCCGATTGCGCCAACCTCTCTGGATGAGAACGCCCCGCAACTGTATCGGGAGGGCTATGACTATTACCGGACAGCCCGGGCCAAGCATCCGCGAGCTACAAGCGTGTTTGTCACCCGAAGCTTGGAACTTTGCGCATCATACGACTCTTACGCCTTCATCCACCTTATCTCCCCTCGGCCGCTCCTTCTCATTGCTGGCACCAAGGCCGATACGATGTATTACAGCGAGGAGGCGTATCTCAAGGCGGCTGAACCGAAGCAGCTAGTCCGTGTTGAGGGTGCTACTCACATGGATCTCTACGATAATGAACAGTACCTCCCTGGTGTCATTGAGAAGCTGGTGGATTTCATGGACAAACATCTGTGTGATTAGCTTGACAGCGTACAAATTGATAAAAACTTGATTACATATGCACCCTGGAATAATTTGGTCATGATTGTCACATTTCGTCTGGTCATTTGTATCTATTGTTTTTCCCCAGACCTCAGGTCCCCTTGATAGATAACTTTGGCAGAAGGGTATTTCCGCTTCGCCTCAGCTTCCAACTTATTCACCTCTAATTTGCTCCCAGACAAGTAATAGTAGAAGGCCGACAAAACGGCCTCTCCATCACCCCCGAAGACAAACTCATGGGTTTCGTCAGCGGAGCCCCCATCCTCGCCACCGGCATGTGGTTATTCTCCTGGACGGTCCCACCCAAAGTCCTCAACGTGCATTGGATCGTCTCCATGATCGGTCTTGTCTGCGTTTACTATTCCAACTGTGAATTCACTACCGTTCTCACTGGCTATCTGGCCGATAACTACCTCAGTTATGCGGCCAGTGGGTTGGCCGCACAGTCCTTCCTCCGTGCGCTGCTCACTGCTGCCTCGCCGCTCTTTGCCCCCGCGATGTTTAACGGGTTGGGGAATAATGTGGCGGTGTCAGTTTTGGCGGCTGTGGCGACGGTGTTATATGCTGTCCCGCCGTTGTTAAAGCGGTATAGGGCTGAACTTAGGGCTAGGAGTAAGTTTGCTCATCATAGTTTGGATTCGTATCAGTTGACTACCGTTGATGAGGATGGGTATTGATTTCCTTTTGGTGGATAAACCATTTCAGAACGGACTAGCTTTACGGGTATGGTTTATATTGTTTTAAAACTATTGATTCAGTATTTAATGATTCTATACACGCGCATGTTCATATTCTTGAACCCGGCGTATATGAAACTTGGACCAGAAAGGACTAAAAAGGGTACAGATGGATACTCTCGCTTCTTCCTAAGATAATGTATTTAATTTACACGTAAAGACTCTATAATCAATAGAACTCGCGTTATCAAAGCATTCAAGGATAAGAGGTCTAATAAGTGGTTTGTTCTTAATACTGATGGTAGGTTCACTACTAAAGATACTTCGTAGATATTAAGATTATTATCTAAGGTGCTCCTCCTTTCTCTAGAGGCCCCCTGTCCAATATAGAGAGGATGCCTCCCTCTACGAAAGAGGACTAATATTCCAGTTATTTATAATAAGCTTATTCTTATAGACAGATCTATGGTATAGATAATAGCTGATAACGCGGGTGGGGGTATTAAACCAAAGATCCAAAGGATTGGTGACTTAACAAAAGCTCGTCCTATCCAATATCTTTGTCTTGCTGCTGGCTATATTATCAGTGCCTAGGGAATATATCGATTAAATATTAGATTCGCACCTCTTATTTGTTCAAGTCAAGCTATACCAGAGCAGTGCTTCTGCAAGGTTCTCGCAAACTGCGACATGCTCGCGGTGAAAACGGCAGATTGTGCTTTGGATTTTGTCGATGGTTGTATTAGAACACCTACCAGGCCGGGATTAGGAATCACATTTCGGTTGGATGTGCTGAGGGTGCCGGTTGTGAGCCACTTTGGTGGAAAGTTTCCACATTTGTCTGTGTTCAGTACATGCATTTTCAACCCCTTGTTTGCATTGGTCCTCTCGAATAGGAGTTTATAGAATTTCAAGACTTGATGCATCAACCTTCTCAATGTAAATAATATAGTATGGGAGTTGTAGATGTGCTACTACCCAGATTTCAAAACCCCAATCTTAGATTCATACTGTTAGATACGATATCAGGGATGTGGAAAATTGACATAAGTTGTTGCATAGAAATTGAAGCAAAACTCAAACCTGGCAGCCGTGACGTTTGAAAGATCCAGCCCCGGGTTATGTTGAGGTAGCATTTGGATGGTCCAGTTGGTGAACGGACCAACCTTTGAATATGTCTCGTCAGTTGCCGAGCCTATATCCCCGTCTACTGTGTCGTGGTCTGGGTAATGGGGATTCTTCATGTTATACTTGAACCTGACGGGAAGAGGGGCGTGTGATCCCTTTTCAGGATTGTCTCGGTTCCCTGGTGTTTGAGTGTAATATCGAGATATCCAGTAGATGTCTTTGCACCATCCAGAAACACACGGACCTTTAGTAGACGAATGTCGATCATTCCATCAAAAGGGTTGGGAGCTCCTGTGGGTTGAACAACTGGGATCGGAACCGCGCGTACAACTCCATCTTCCTCCCCCACAAGCTTAATAGACCGGACATAGCGATCAGGGATAGTGTATGGAAGTTTCTTCTGTGTCTGACTGTCGTGGCCCATACTTTCCTCGTACGAATTGTATTGGGTGGAGAGTTTGATGTACACATTTTCCAACGTCGAGGCATTGAACTGAGAAAACTTGGAGCCCTCCATTGCCTTACCGATGTAGTTTTCTTTTTCGAGAGCAACGAACTGATATGCCAGTTGCATCATGTGCAGCCAGTTCTGTGTAGTATGGATGCTGTCAGTATAGAGCTTCTTCATGAATACTGTCACGGTTGGATGATCTGCACCCAATTCGTCATACTGCTGGTGACTGATGTCGATCTGCTCAACGGCGAGCGAGTCAAGTTTGGTTTGACATTTGATCAGCAAAAGCACGGCTGTTGTATACTCCAATTTCGCTGTATTGCGTTGTTGGACAATCTCTAAGATAACCAATTAAATGTTTACATCAATAGATGATCAAGACTCACCGATGTAATTATCGAAACTTTTTCTGATTTCCTTTACCATATCATCCCCAAGAATATTGTGGAATTCCCTTAGGAGCTTCTCTGTTTCTGCTGCAGCGACACATAGTTTGGTTGCCCCTGGGTCATCAAAGTTGACGCCGCTATCCTTGAGAACTTTGAACCCGTCGCCAAGTCCGTCGATCGTTCCACTTGCATCCCTGACTTCTATGGAAGAAAATGGAAGGGATGTCAATGATTTATATGATGTAGAAGATCCCCCTCCATTTCCGATCGATGCTTGAACCCCACATCGCCTAGACTGTTGCCCGATGGGTGAAACCTACTGAGATAAAAGTGTTGATCTCTGTGGAGTGGTTCGCTTGCAGATTCTGAGTAGAACCATCCAGACCACTGTCTTTAGTACAAAGGGGTGGACCTACCATATTACGTGCCACAGTATACAGCTAGGCAAGATTCGTAAAAAGGAAATGATATACCCACTACCATAGGATTGCACGGATCTGTGCAGCTGAACAGACAACCCTGGTCGAATCACTCGGCTTGAAATCTCCCCCAAGATATCGAAATAAACTCAGCTCCCGACGATTCAACGGAATATGTCTGCCCCTCTCTCAGCTGACCTTACTCAGTCAGAAAATAGGTTCTATTGAGATATTCTTTGAGCAGATTGTACATTTTAATATTTATATAGATTTTAAGATCGGTGTAGATATAGATCTAGTGTCGGACAATTTCTACTAATACGTTCAACGAGATTGTAGTCAATTTAAACACAAGTACATGTTCAAACGGGGGATGATCAGTGCAGAGTTTTAAATTCTTCTATAAACAAAAGTCCTCGAAGAAAGCAGAATACCAGATTCACCGCATCTTTCCTACTTACTTTATGAGATGATATATTTAATTTACACTCCTGATTTTAAATTTCAACCACATATATCCCTCAGGTTAGAAAGTTACTCGCGCACCAAGCTTTCTTTTGCATGGATAATACACATTCAACATTCACACCTAGTACCATCACAACTCCAACAGCTTAAATAAACTATATAGTGAGTCATTCAAATCATTTTACTCCGTTATCTTGACAACAACATGAAAGAGAGATCCAGTGCACTCTACAGTTAGAACCAGAGCTGCACTTATAGTGATAACAATCCCAAACGGCAAAGCCCACGAGGGTGATCTAGACATATGACCAGGAACCAACAATCTCATGTAGTTTTCTCTAATATTCCTTGCCTAACCACTAGATGGGGTAAATTTCTAATCACGGCCCGAAAATTCATGCATGCCTCTCAACAAGCTTGGCCAAGTCACCGGGGTTAGCGCCCACGAGTTCGTCGATCTTATTTCCATTTTTAAAAGCCATGAAGGTTGGCATGGCTCTGATTCCAACTTCCTGAGCTATATCCTCCTGTTGATCGACATCAACCTTGACAAACTTAATTGAACTGAATTTTGGTTCAGAGGCCAGCTTTTCAAAGACTGGGCTTATCGCTCGGCAAGGACCACACCATGTGGCCCAAAAGTCAATTATGACAACTTCGCCGGAATTGATAAGATTGTGGAACTCGTCAAGGCTAGTGAAGCACAGAAAATTGTTAGTTATATGCAAATAGAGACCGGAATATACAATCTGATATTATAAAATATACCTATTGAGAGGAGAAACAGTTCCAGACATGATGTGTTTTTTTTTGGCAAGGATCTGATTCTGGGAGGAAGGTAGCGTTAAGGAAGGGCAGTTGGAGTTATAATCACGGAGTCGATAGGTGTGATTATGAGAAAGAAAGACAGAACACTGTGAAAGGGGATCGATGGTTTATCTCGTGAAGACCCCTCCATGTCAGAACCGATCTTTTTCAACCCCACCTCGCTTGGACCGTCACCTTTGCCGATATGTGGATCGTACTGGCATGAACCTTGTACATCGAAGTAGACACTTTTGTCGAATCACCGGCTTCGAAATCTCCACTAATACATCCGGATAAACTTTAGCTCCCCACTAGTTATTCAACGTAAGTACGTAAGTCTGCCCCTCGCTCTCTCAGCCGTGCAGATCTTCATACCTCACTTACCCAGAAATAAATTATGTGGAGATGTTCATTGAGCAAGTCAGACTTTTCAACATTTGTGTAGATTCAAGATCTGTATAGATATGGATCCAGTGTCAGACGACTTCTACTGACAAGGTCAACGGTATTCTTGTCAATTTAATATAAGTATGTATTTAAATAGAACCTTACTCCTACAAAGGTCTTTAATCTACACATTGTTCTAGAAAAATTCCTCAAAAGAAACCAGAATACCAGAATACCAGAATCACCGCTTCACAAACCCACTCTCCATCTCCAACCAAGTCCCAAAATCCTTCATATCAGGATGAACCTCCTTCAAAGCCCTCACATCAGCCCCATACCCTTCTTCATAAAACCAAACATATATCCCATGGCCATAAACAACGAACAAACCGGCCGAAACGCTATGGACAGTGATTCTCTCCGCGTCTGCATGAAAACCCGTTCCATTTCCTCAAAGCTCAGCTCGTCCCCCGCCAACGATACACCGCGCCCCTTATACTGGTCCGGGTTAAGGAAGGCTGGCCGCCACCATCTGAAGCTTCTTCCCCTTCAGCGCCATCTTGAAACAGGTCGCGAAGACCTTTCCGAAGAAGTCAGGTGTCAGATTCTCGTAGAACGCTGTGGGTCGTAAGATTGTCCACTCCATGGAGGTATTCTTGCTGCGGTCGACGAGGTGGTGCTCGATGTTGTGCTTTTTGATAAAGTGGGGGATTTTGGTAGGATTAGTGTAAGAGTGGTCTTCGCCGCCACGGTCGACAGAGCAATAAACGAAGAACTTGACGTTTTGTTTGAGAGCTTCGTCGATGAGTGATTTGCCTTGGGTTTCTTCGGCGTTGTTTCCGATTGCTGCCTTTGGGGGGTTAGTGATGTGGGTGTGAGTGTGGGTTTTGGAGGAGGGCAAGGGGGACTGCTAACCTGGACTCTCGAAGGGCGCGTTGCGAGAGATGAGGCTTTTGATGGGTGAACATCCTTATTTACCGGTTGCACCGGTAATTAAAACCGCTGCCATGATGGAAATAATGTGATAAATGAAGAAAGTATGATGTCTACCTTCATTCTCACAGCCTGTAGGAAGAAGGTTAAAGAGATTGAGGCATACAGGGTTACGGGGAGACGGTGGTCTTCGTCGTCTACTTCGCCGCCGTCACCAATATGAGTCCCGAACAGTGCGCCGAGGAGCTAAGTCAAGATCACTTCACACTCCTCCAGTAATGCCGGTTCGCAACGCAGCAAGCCCTGGCGCGAGCAGGCTTTCTTCAAACACGAAGCCAGACCGTGCTCCAAGCGACCGTACTCTTCCTTACCTGTCTGCGCCGACCTGGAGACGCGGAGTTCTTCTAGACTATGATCGCGGCGGTTTACCGGCTCACATAGGAGCTGGGATTGCATCACGACGGAACCCACTTTGACCTCACTCCCTTCGAGATTGAACTGCATCGCCGATTATGGTGGTCTATCTTTCTGCTGGACAGTCAATCGTCCGAGCTTCATGCCATCGGCACACGAATCTCTGAGTCTTGTTACGATACCAAACTGCCCCTGAACATCAATGGCTCAGATCTATCTCCGGAGTCAACTATACCATCCGAAGAACCTATCGAATTCACAGAAATGACCTTTTGCCTGATTCGCTGCGAAATGACCGTCCTCTACCGTCGCTCCTTTCTCAATGCGCATCCTATGCCCAACAAAAGCGAAAGCCATGCCGCACACCTCCTAGACGAGCGTCTCCGCCAGCTCGAATTTACCAACTCGGATCCCCATCTATTTGTCAGTGTGGCCGAGTGGTTAAGGCGCTAGACTTGAACTATAGCGTATAGTTTTCATACATTACTATATAGCGGAGTATATCTAGTACATTCGTGTTCGTAGTCAAAACCTGCTGCTGACGACATGTATCCAGCCGACACTAGTCGCTGGATGTAGATCACGGTTGACCCAGCCGACATTGTCATTCGTTTCCTGTCCTTCAACTGGGCTTTTGACTCCTTGTCAAATAGTTGTTATTTCATATTTGCGAGAATTTAGCTTTGACGAAGTTCAAATAGTACTTGTCTTCAAAGGTTACTACTATTCTTCACTAACAATATACCAACCTGGCCCTCAGAAAGAGAGGATAGTCTCCCTGGGCGACTTCTTTCCGATCACTCATGGCTCTCGGCCGCAGCGAGGGGTTATTTAAGCACCATTCGCACAAGAAGCAACTACTACCATTAGCAATCAAAACAGTTCTTTGTCATTTCACCCCACATTGTACCAAGGCGTGTCGAACTGGTGCTTAAATCCAGACTGCACAGAGCGACCCCTTTTCATCATGTCATAGAAGGCCGAATGTAAGAGTGCCTGAGGCCCATCAAAAGTTCGTGCCTGGTGCATTCGAGCCATTCAACCATGCTAAAGGCGAATGCATAGTAACCTCCTGAATGACGATAGCGTCCTGGAAGGTTCTGACCATCCCCATGTCCAATCGTCATTTCTTTACAATGTCCTGGGTCAGGTAGCTTTGTAGCAGCACATTTGGGGACACCAACTGTCCCGTATTGCTATTGACTACCTCTGTATATTGCAGAGTTCAGAAATGTAGACTCGGATGGGGAATATTATTAGGACGATCTTGGTCAAGTCAGTGATGCTATGATCTACAGCCGTGATAGTATCCCGTCTTGATGATCATTGTCTTAACTTGCAAGATGTTCAACTTGTAACAACATGCCTGGAGTGACTTCGGACATAAGACTTTGTCCAATGATTATGGTATCCTAATGTGCTTGGTCTCTTATACGCATCGTTCTTTCCAGGTGACAAGGTAACTAGACCTTGAGGCCGTACGAGAGGAGTTCCAGACGTGGCACGCATGAGAGCTCGGACAGACAGAGAGTCACCGCATCAAAGATGTTGAAGACGACAAACTACCATCTGACCACTTGATTGTCTGTCATCAGAAAGACTTTTCGGCTAAGGCGGTCGGTGTGTTCAGAGCAGAAGGACATTCCCGAGTGGACTCAAGAGTCTACCTGGTAATTGCTTTGGGGCTTCATGAGTCGAATGGATCTAGCGTAAATGAAATAATAGAAACGGAGCTCCGGGGTCAGTTTGGCGTCGTTCTCGATGCTATCAGGGGAAGAATTGACATAGAGCAGTAGAACAAATTCCACTTTACCCATGTCTACGACAAGTGCGATTATGATTCCAGAAAATCTCTACAGCATAGTGAGATGTGCTAGTGCTGACGGATCATAGTTGTTCGGGATACATCTTTCACTCTCAAGAAATAAGAAGGCGAGGCTAGCAAGGAGGGTGAGGAGGGTTTCACGTTTAAAATCAACTTCCATCTTACCAGTCACTAATTTGGTAGGAACTTCTGGAAAGACCTTCGAGATGGAAGTAGAGGAAGTCATTCATAAGGGAGAGCCCGTCTGAAAGCAAATCACATTGGGGTTTCAAGTCAACAATTTGTTCTGTTTCTTGCACAGCAAGGTTTCTGTATACTGAAGAGGCTATGATTCAAGTAGTTTCTGGGAAGAGCGTGTAGTATCAACATTAATATTCGACATCTTAAGGTCTTATTTTCACACTTCCATTTCACAAAATTCCATTTGCTGATTAAGGCTCACCTGAGATCATGAATTCGGCTGTATTCTAGCCCTGTATCATATCGTAGAGCATTGCGTCTATGAGGAAGGTCTTCTTGAGATCCTCCGAGGGAGCTGGAAGATCACGCGGAACCGAGGAACCGAGGGATTCGGAGTTGCTTAGTAGAGAAAAAGCAGTTTATTATCATTAGAATCCCTCAAAGTCCGTAAGACAATCGAAAACCAGTAAGACCTTTTTTTCTTTCGCGCAAATCAGTCTAGGAAGCCTATTTTGGAGAGGTGAGATATACCTGGAGATGTAAACATGCTTCGCGCTGTTTCGGAAGACCGCCACCGGGATAACTTGTAATCTGCGGGGTTTGGGGGTGGAATGATTGCCTACCCATGCGCGAATCCGATAACATTCACCCAAGAATCTTCGGAACAACTCCGGGTATAGTATTCAAAGACATGGAAAAAACACTCTCTCCTACGAAGAAACATCGGGGCGGTACAAGGAAAGCTTGCAACGAGTGCAAACAGCAAAAAGTAAGCGAACGTCCTTCCGTCCAAAGCATCCTGCCTCTGCCCAACCGTGCAAATGGAGTTATGCAAGTTATGCACTTGGGACGCCCATTCGGCTCGTTTGACTAAACTATGGTGGATTTGATATACGGTAGCTTCGTTGTGATATCGTCCAGACCCCCGCAGACGCCTGCTCGCGTTGCAAAGGGCTCCAGATTGAATGCAAGGTTGAACCTTCTTTCACGCGTATCTCGAAAAGAAGGTATCTCCTACATCGAATTAACATGTCATCTTCTCTTGGATGCTAATCCTGTTAGACGAAATGCTGAAATGGAGCGCGAAATTGCTGGCCTCCGCCGACGGCTGGCCACTACTACCAACCATAATGGCCACGTTGTCGAGGCTAACGTCAGTGGTGTGGTGTCCCAGCCTTTAGGGAGCGCGATCTGGGACTCATCAGCTGCAACGCTGAATCAAGGGAAAACCTTGCCTGCCAGTCTCGAGACACAGGTCTTACCTACTCCCTTAATTATGTATCGAGATAGATCTGACCTGTTTCAGGATGATATGTGGAGACTGGAAGACGTTGCCCTGTCAAAGCCAAGAGTGGCACGACTATTTGAGCAGTAGGTCCCTGCATCTTTCTGTCTTGGATGAGATATTCAATCTCTAATGATCGAGTAGGTTTTTCAAATATTACCATCCATTTCTTCCACTTTTAGACCCTCAAAAACCACCAGAGCATTATCTCTGCCGATGTCCTTTGCAAGCATGGACGATCATTTGCGTCGCTAGCCGACGGGCTCCAGCAGAGCCAGGCCTCCTCGGTGCACTCACCGGTCCGTTCACCAGACTCTTATGGTCGACTATCACCGGCGTGCCACAGGATTACGCCATTGTAAAGGCCCTCTGCCTTCTGTGCACCTGGCCCCTTCCTACCACTAGTCAGAGAAAGGATGCTACCTTTATGCTCTGCGGGTTGATGGTGCAGATTTCTATGCAGTTGGGGTTACATCGTCCCGTCCAGGCAGAAGAGTTTACAACATTTCGAATAGGTCACAGTGAAGCTGTGAAGGATCGGCTGCAGACATGGGTCGTCTGTAATATTGTCGCCCAAAAGTGAGAGCCCCCTCTATACTATAGACGAATCACAAGTTCATGGAGGTCAACAGTATTGCCACCGGATATGGACAACCTCCCGGGACGATATATGACTGGGCGCTTGAGCCAGCATCACTCCAGGATGCCGGTTATTATCCTCCAGAGGACCTGCGAACTCGTCTCTCTATTGAAAAATTCTGCGATCGAATCACCAAGTCGCTCTATAACAGCCGACCGGACGCGGCAGAGTTTATTGGACCGGAGAGACTCCTCATAGTACAGCTTTTGGAGAACGAGCTGAGGGATATGGAACTAAGCTTTGGCAGAAATATCTCTCGTACGATGCCTCTGAGCTTACTGCCTTTAGCCTTCATCAGACTAACCGTGTTCTTGTCGGGCAGATATTAATATGATTCACCTCCGAGCCGCAGAGCTCCATTTACGATACTTTATATTCTTAGGCGCAAACCCAAGAACTAATGACATTACGAAGCTTTTTATTGCAACCACCTCATTCCTCAGCCAAGTATTGGACCTCGAAACATCTCCAGGCCAACTGATCAGCTACACAACAAATTACATCCTGCAGATGATTATCTCAGCAGCATTCGGTCTAATGAAACTACTCAAAAGTTCTTTCCGGCATCACATCGACTTCGAATACGGGAAGATATTATTCAACGGAGCAATATCCGCCCTAAGAAGAATCAGCGTCATGGACCACGATCGACCTGTTCGACTCGCAGATGTGCTAGCACAGATGTGGAATGCAGGCGATGCCGAGCAATCCACCGAAGAAGATAACTTACAGCTTAAAGTCCGCTGTCGGATGAGTATGAGCCATGTCTACGACACTGTTTGGCGCTGGCGACACCGATTCCGACCCAGAAAGGACCCTTCGGATACTCAAAGCATGTTCCCCTAACATCCCCACTTTTGCTTGCTACTTTCGTCTTCCCCTTGTATATTTCCGGCTAACCTCAGTAATAGCTACTACTGTCAATCCGACTGAATCCACGACGGCTATGATCCCCCAACAATTCGACGGATCACTAGAGACTTCTGCGATGATCTGTCCGCCAAATCTGGGCCAGGGCAGTGCTTTTTTCAACGAGGCCGGGTTCGCAGAAATCTTTGATTCCCTCAACTGGGTGTTTGATGAGTTCCCTGGTCCTTTCGTTGCTCCTCAGATAATGTAACTACTATGTCTGAGAGGCGACCGTCCCGTCTCTGTATGAACCCCAACCCTACGGTCATATTCAACATAGATACAACGTCTCCTATGACGGATACTTGGGTTGTCTAATCCTTTAATCTACCCTTTTCATAGTCAATATCCTTTCTGTGTCTTGTATTGAAGAAGAATTACATTATGTAAAGCGAAGACTTCCCCTGCATACAGTGTTATAAGCATGTAGCACAGTCTATAGCTCCTTAGTTCATCTAGACGTACATTCGTTCTCATCAATAGTATTATATCAATGCTATAATATAAGCACATCACAAACTCCAACCGATCACATAAACCAAGTCCTGAACAATCCATACCCTAAATAACACCCATGCAAACTTACACCATCTCCACACGAAAAGCCCCGACTCTGAAGTAAAAACCCACTTTTGTCCAGAGTCTAGACACATAGTGTGACTGTACACAGCATATCCGAACGGGGATAACGAGCCGAGGAAGCTATCAACTCTTAAGTAATTAAGTAACTATCTATCCTTCCTTGGCTAGCTAGTTAGTGGCGTCGGTTCGATTGCCCAGTTTACCAGTACTAAACCATAAAGTGAGTAAAAGCGCTTAGACTAAGTTGAATTAAGTTTACTTTTCTCTGTTTCGCTTAATGTCCTGGAGGTACTTTTTTACTCGGAATATTTGCTCGCGGCTGGTTTGCCTTGGATGTACTTCTTCTTGTACTCTGTAAATCAGGCAGAATAGGGTTTTCTAGCGCGGGGGTGTCTGGTTATCTATACCTAACCTTTGGTGTGTTTTGTTGATTGATTTATCTAACTATTGAACTTATCTGTCTGTCTATCTGTCAGGAGCAATCTTATCTCGACCAAGAAATTCTCATGTCGAAGGGATAACGCGCTTAAAGCGGATGTCCCAGAGTTGACCTGTAATGATTGATAAGCTGAAAAAGGAATTCTGACCGACTCAGCTCTGACTGTATCGTAGTCATCTTTGATCGTGTGGGGGGTGTATTTACTGTGTACGATTGCGAGTGCTCGGCTCGTTAACCAAGTCTTGAGTTGTTTTGTGGAGTCGATCCACTACGATTTAATGCCGTCATGGAGGGTTGATCTTGAATCCGCAATGATGGAGACCAACAGCTGCCCCGGTCTGATGTCACAATTAAGCAATTAAGAATCATTCAATTCTGATCATTGTCGTCGCTCCATAGTTCAACGATGAAAATAAACACAATGACCCCATGCTTCTGGAAAAATAAAAAATAAAAAAAACAAGTCTATCATGCAAAACCAAAGTCCGACCGCGATTTTGGGTACTCCCTAGTAAAAAATACAACCTTTCCCGCTTTTTGGAACAAAACACATTCTCCGGAAAACAACACGCTTCTTCAGAACAAAAAATAATCGTCGTAATGCAGCCCGATGGGTCGTTACAGACCACATCAAGAGAGAATGGAAGCAAGCAAAGCCCGAGTTACCACCCAGAATCAAGCAAACCGGTCTATACCGAATCCGAAGAAAAAAAAGAAAAAGTCCCGTACATCATGCCCATATTAGATAAATAAAATCAGAAGAAAACAAAAATACAACCCTTCCCGGGGTATTTAGGTGAGGGTGTAGCCACCGTCAACGCGGATATCGGCACCGGTCATGTACTTAGAGGCGTCACTGAGCAGGAAGGTAACGGGGCCCATCAGGTCCTCGGGAGTACCCATCTTGCCGGTGGGGATGAGAGAGATCCACTTGTCCCGCAATTCGGGGTTCTCATCCAAAATCTTGCGGGTCCTGCAGCGAAACACAGTTAGTCACGGTTCGAACGCCCCTCACGACGGAATTTCACATACAGAGCAGTAAGCATGTATCCAGGGCTGATGCAGTTCACACGGATGTCGTGGCCGGCCCATTCGACGGCGAAGGAGGCGGCAAGTTGACGCACAGCGGCCTTGGCGGCGTTGTACGGAGCCTGAGGCTGGGGCACGTTGACGATGGCACCAGACATGCTACCAATCATGACAATGCTGCCCGGAACCTTGCGCTCCATGAGGTGCTTGGCAACCCCGGTCGCAAAAAGGTATGTTCCATCAACGTTAACGCCCCAAAGCTTTTGCAGACGGTCATGAGGGTAGGAGATGGCATCGAAGTTTTCGGTGAATCCGGCGGAGGTGACCAGGTTGTCAATCTTGCCGTGCTTGGAGATAATATCGGAAAGAGCATCGTTGACGGAGTTAGGGTCGGAAACATCAGCATAGTGGGCGGTGACGTTAGGCATTCTTGATTCGAACAATTAGCGTTTGGAATTACCAATTAGGGTGATCAATGAGATAACTCACTGTTCCAAGCCGGGGTTCTCCTTCCTGAACTGCTCAACCAATTTCTGGGCTTGCTCCTCAGCTTCCGCCTCTGCAAAAGCCAGTTAGTAAAGCTAATGAAAGCCCCTTGGTCCACAAAAGCTTAGAACGTACTGTTGAGATCGACAATTGCAAGGTCCGATCCCGATGCAACGATCGCCTGAGCCATGACCAAACCGAGACCACGGGCACCTCCGGTAACCAGGGTGACCTTGTTCTCTAGGGAAAATTGAGCCAGGGTACGCTTGAAGTGCATTCCTCCGCGGCCCTGAACGATAGGACTGCGAGGCATGTTCTCATCATCGGGGTATTCGATCTGCAAACTCTCGTCGACACGGGCAAAACGCCCCTCCGTGTCCAAGGCACCCTCAGGGGCTTTGTTGGTGGCGGCCAAGATGGGGTCCTTTGCTGCCTTCGACTTCTCATCATTTGCACGGGGAGCTGTCGATGAGAGACCTCGGAAGAAAGTATTGGCCACCGCTGGCCGTGATGCTGCTGTTACCGCGGCAGGGCGTGTGTTAATGCTGAGAGCCTTGACGGCTTGACGAGCGGCTGGTGACTTGAACATTGCGTATGTGTAATGAGAGGTCGCTAAGAATATAGCTATGTACTCAGGGAAAAAGAGGAGTTAAGAGGCGCTCGATCTGGGGAAGAAAGGGTATGAATGTAGGGATAAATAGATATATAGAAAAGACGAAGACGGTCCACAAGGTTGATGGGAAGCTGGAGTATATGTAGTCCCCCCCCTAAAACAAGGATATAAACAATGGTGGGAGAAAAATCTGATGGGTTGTTCGCCTCTTTTACGGTAAAGGGGAAATCCGAGGAGTATCAATCAAGGATTGGAGAAAATGTGTATAGGTGTCCACAAGCGGAGAAGGATTGGGAAACACAATTAAATCAAATAAAAAATAAAATTCTAAAACATCGATAATCGAAAGAGAAAAACAAAAATTAAAATCAAAATAAAAAAAACCTAGAATGGACAAAGGAGCTGGGGAATGTGAGGCACAGAGCAATTGCGGTGACCGACCGCCCAAGGGGACCAGCAAGTTGGACCACCATGACTGCAAGCGTGGCCAAATTGACTGGTTCTCAGGGTGGAATGGCTGGGGGGAAAAGTATCCACTATCCCCAGGGGACTGGGGAAAATTCCACGTATTTTTTTGGATGGCCCTTTCAACATTTCTTTTTTAATTTTTTCGTTTTCCCCATCCATTCTTGTTCTCAATTTGATAGTCAGAATCAAGTGATGTCAGGCGGTGATGGAGGCCTGGGGGGCCAGGCCCCAACCGCCATGCAGCGATCTGGCCAGGATCGACTTAGTGAGTGGATCGGCGGCGCTCTTCTTTGCCTCCCGCCGACTTCCGCGTGACTCCAACACGCCTCCAGAAGTTTCACCGGCTTCTTGACGATCCCAATCCTGGTATCCCGCTCGTAAGTAACCTTCCAAGGGTTGTTGGAGTCAATCTGATGTTATTTTATGACCTTTTTTTTAATTGTTATTTTTATTTCATATTATCATTAGTTTCCACTTTTTTTTTATGGTCAGTTTTACTCATTGTTTCTTTTTCTTATGCTCAGTGATTTATTTCTATTCGTATTACTATCGATAACCAATTTAGATCATGAATAATCATACGAGGACATACGAACGAAGCGCAATGGCCTCCCCTTCGAACTCTTAACACTCATACCTCAATTGCAAACCCAACTCGACTAGTGGAGCAAGCTATGTATCCGAGCATGCAATAAAAGAATGCAAGACTGCAATAATCCTGAACTCAGAAATTCAATTCCATTCCATCTGATCTATATCAAAACCCAAGCTACGTACAACAGTTCATCAGCAACACACAGATCAGGTAATCATTGGCTACGTCAATCTCAGCCCCGTTCTTAAAATACAAAGGATAAAGGCAAAGACGAAATCTCTTATCGTCACACGCCAACGCCATCATTAAACTTGCCGTCCATGTCAACACCCTGCGCATCATGCATGCAACAGTCCAGACTGCACGTACTTTGTCATCAACCTAGAAGATTGCTTATTCAAATCCAAATCTCACCATGTAAATTAATTAGGCAGATCTTCATAGCCACTTCATCCTTCCCCAAGTTTTATATTCGCCACACCGTAGATATCCATTGGCGTACTTAGTACTTTTGTCCGAGTTAGCCGCCCTGGGTCTGAACTACTAAAACACAGCCCTACTTACCTATAGTACGTAAAACTCGGGTCGGGGCAATTTTAGTGTAGTTCCTGAACCACTGCTTCCCTGGCTCCACTTGGCTCATTTTTCTCGAAGGAATCTAGAGAGCCAACCACACTTTTTTTTGACCACACACCCTGTGCGCTAATCTATGGATGTGGTGAGAGTGGGGTTGTCATTATGGACTAAGGATCCTCCGTATACTCTGGTAATAACGAATTACTACAATCAATATAGCATTCCTATTTGGTATAGTGTATGTCTGCTACTTTAGCACCGCCGTGTCCATCCGAGAAGCTATCCCTCAGGTAGTTCATGAGTTCAGTCCCCCAAATCATAGTCATTGCATAAGTGTTATATACCGAATCCTTGAGGTTGATAAGACCACAAGATGTTGCATGCCACGTAAAACAAAAGCCGACATGTCATCTTGAGAGAATC